AAAGCGCAAGTGCAATTGCTTTGATAATACATATATAGGTACTACATGTGGACCTCTCTCAGATTTGTTCATTTTGTATGATATCTTTAATTCTCTAATTTTGGTGAATATTTTTGTCAATTTTTGTAAAAAGTGATATTTTCGACTTATGGTTAAAAAACCGCAAGTCCAATTGCTTTGATATTACATATATAGGTACTACATGTGGACCTCTCTCAGATTGTTCATTTTGTAATGATATCTTTAATTCTCTAATTTTGGTGAATATTTTTGTAATTTTTGATAAAAAGTGATATTTTCGACTTCTTGTTGAAAACAGCAAGTCTCATTGCTTAATTAATACTATACATATTGTTCATTTTCTAATGATATCTTCTGTTCTTTAATTGAAATGTGCATTGCTAACAGCGGAGCTATCTCAGCCGAGAGGCTGCTTGTTTAAAAAGCACTGTCATCATCTTTCTACATTGCTTTATTGTTCCCATGTGTTGTTACAAAATCAGCATAACTGTATCGTACAATGTTTGCTATATTTGACAGGGTGCCACTACTGCTGAAATTAGAAGGCAATACAGACAGTTAAGTTTAAAACACCATCCTGACAAAGGTGGTGACCATCTGACGTTTATGAAAATTGCCAAGGCATATGAAGCGTAAGTAATGCATTCTTTATTTACCCTTACAAATATGTGATTCATTATGCAAATTTTAAGCTGTATTTTACATGAATTTATCATAATGACATTGTGATGATTTGAGGCTATGACGTTTTGTTTAGTTGTTTGCATAATGATCTCATGGCATGGACATGGGCTCAGTTAATGTTCCAGGCCTAGCAGTTGAGTACTAAACATCTTAGTTACAAGTATAAGTTACTACTCCAGTGCGTTATTCTTCTCCCAGATTTGGTGACCAAAAATCACTTCATTCACTCTACCTTGCGAAGTCAGTTCTCAGTTTACAGAAATACATTTACCATATAATATAATAATTTACAAAATAATATTAGAAATGAGTGTATTTTAGCTATCTTATTTTTTTTGTATATCATTCTGACAGAAGAGACTGTGTTTTGTGAGGATTTGACTAGTTTCAATCATTAAACTTGATTAAAGTTAAGCGAGGTCACCATCATTTCAAAATGTGCATGATGGTTATGATTTTATTTAAAATGGCTGCTTTTGTATTAATAATAATACAGTAATTAGAATTAATTTTCTATTAATGAAAGTACTACCACATAAATGCGACTAGCTGACCAGAGTTTGCAACCTGATCTTAGTATGCTGTTTGGGAAATTCAAATACTGTATTACCGGTAGCTTTATTTATAGCACATCTGCTGGTGTAAATAACAGAGGGGTGTCTGTGACAAAAATAAGTCAATTTTAGGCATCCAGCATTCAATTTCATGTGTATGTGCACTTTTATTGAAAATCCCCTTCTAATAGAGCAAATACGGTGTGCGGTGCTCTCTTGTAATCATGTGACATTTTGAATACTTTAAAAGGGGTGATTTCAATCCCTTGGATTGCATCATTATGTTGCATACATCACTACTGTGTCTGGTATTGTGTTATAAATATCACATAATTCAACACAGTGTGATGCAGCTCTAGAAAAGTTCCTATGTGTTGAGTGCCTCTCAATTTATTGTTTATTTCTCCAGTTTGACAAATGAAGAAGCTAAGAAGAACTGGGAAGATTTTGGAAACCCGGATGGACCTCAAGGTTTGTCACAATTTGTGTTTCAGTTGAAGCTAGTTTTGTGGCAGTAAAAAGTTGATTAGTGGTTTATTTCACATACCACTTTGATGGATTTTTAAAACTATTTAAATGTTTTTATTTAACAGCTACCAGTTTTGGTATAGCACTGCCAGCATGGATTGTAGAAAAACAAAACTCTATGTGGGTAAGTTGTTTATTACATGCTGTGATCATATACTAATAGTTCACAGTATGCCATTTTTAATTTGGAAATTGTACAATTAGATTGTGATGCACACATTGC